AAAAGAAAAGAAAACGAGAACAGGTCAAACCTGTACATGCAACAGCTCAGTTGAAAATTGAATCATACATGTTCATAAGGGAGTAGGACCTTCTCCTCTGCTTATTCAATTATCATTAATATTATCACTGATATATTATCATTTACAGACTGTGTGACCGTGTTAACGTGGCCTCTCTTTACACTCACGTCCTGTCCCACCACCGGTGAAGCTGTGAACGTTCACAGGTCAACAAAACTCCTGTGATCGCAGACACCCACATGGACAGACAGATGGACTATCCGTGGTGACGTCACGGCCGCCGCTCGCCCTCCACCGTGGCGACGTCACCGGGGGCACGTGGGTTTGTTATTACAGGAAGTGAAGATGGCGGCTCAGTCGTTTCTCTCCGAGTCTCTGCTCGGGTGGTCTATTTTCACCTTTATACTTTTGGTAAGCGAGTGTGAAGTTGCGCAGCCGCTTCATGAAGTAGTAGAGTGTTGTACGGTTCGTTTTTAGATGTTTCCAGCAGCTGAGCAGGTCGCTCGGTGAACGTGTAACACAGCGCGACATGACGACGGTGTATTAACGTCAACACTGGCTTTGGATTGGTTTTAGCCGACATTAGCCATGACACACTACAGGCTGTTGTTTTAAAGGAAGCAGTAAACCCTTTACATGTCATACTATTACGTATAGTGGCGGTGCAGGGAGCTGGTGTACCTGCTTGTATTGTACAGAAAATCTCAGGTTATTTATTTCTTAATAACAGCAAATGGCTGCGCGGTATACCCAGTTAGCTTTCACCACAAGGTTTTTAAAAGGCACTTTACAAAAAGTATGCTCCTCCGTATTAATAATTTAGCTTTGTTGAAAACACCAAAGGCATTTCACCTCCAACTAACCATGCTGTTAGTGTTATTTTTGTTTAGTGGCGTTAGGTGGACCCTTACTGAACCTCAGTGAATGTCTTGAAGTTGGGTTAGTCTGTTCGGTAACCTGCTGCCCAATTTAGCACTCATTATCTCAGCTGTTAATCAGAAGCCGTCCAGAAGAATGCCTGGATGCCAGTAAAACGCCCTGCCTCCCCTACTTGCAGCCCTTCTTACTTGAACAAACCCTTCAATGGATCTTATTTGGATGCAAAGCCTGCGTCATTACCTGGCAAAACAAGCAGCCAGAGGCTTAAGGCTGCAGGCCTTTAATTGATCCTGTCTGTGAATGGCAGCCCTTGATCTGAAGGGACTAGTTTTAGCAGTGTCCTCACTTCTTACAGCTTGTGTGCTTGGAATATGACCTTGTCATTTAGGAGTCTCTTTTTTTTTTTGCTTCTCCGTCTATTGAGGTGACTGCCTGTTACAATGACAATCCCTCTCTCGTTAGGCTTTCTCGTGTTAAACAGAAACAGGATAATTGAGCAAATTCTTGAAATAGTTAAAATACTTCAAGCGGTAGTACCTAACTGCCTATAAATTCTGCGTCGTATAAAAAGTCATCTTTGTGATATTTCCTAATCCCTATTGCTGGTGAGTCCATGTGCGCTCCTATGCTGAAAGAGGATAAGTGGAGGAAGTATGATATAATCAGATCAGCTGTTCCACAGCACCTGCAGGCTATTCTCAGTATATAATTCCCTGCGTGTTGTGTTAACACTTTGGTTTGGTTTTTTGGGGGGCAATCAGCACCACACACACTGTAGCTAGAGTTTACAAGCAGTGTTAGGGGAGGACACAGTATAATTGTAATACAATATAATATAATTGTATTATGCCAATCTTTGAAATGAAATGAAAATGTCATCTCTTGTACTCTCTATTATCTCTAAAATGTTATATTTTTGGCTGGACATTTGCTTAAGCTATCTAGGCCTAATCATTTTTGGCTAATCATATTCCTAATTTCCCCCCACTGTTTAGGTAATCCTGGCTTTCTGTTGGGTCTACATTCGGAAGTTTCAAAGTCGTCAGGAGAGTGAAGTTGTTTCGACTATCACAGCAATATGTGCACTGGCCATTGCTTTGATAACTTCGGCCCTTCTACCAGTGGATATATTCCTTGTTTCATTCATGAAGTATCCCAATGGTACCTATAAGGTTAGTATCTGTTCTTCTAACACTGCCAGTAAAATCAATCTGAGACTTGTCCTGAGGCAGCTTTAAACTCTGCTTTGTAATTTTCTTAGAACTAGACAAAGTGGACATTGTTTTTGCCTCATCTAAAAGCTGAATGCATTTCTTGGCTCATGAATTTTTTGCCATTTAATTAGTTTTTATCTATTTGAAGATTTAGCAAAGTGTGTAACGATATCTTCAATTGAACAGCAGATAATGTGTTGCTACGTGGGGGTTGTGAGCGGCTTTGATTGTTAAAGGGTATTTGTTTTTTTAACATTTATTCATGGCCACCTGATGTAAGATGCACATGTTAACTCATCAGGAACATAATCCCTGACTTACTTAATCAAACATGATTTCTTGGTGATCTCTTCTTGGTGATTACACTTTGTAATAAAAACATTACAAATGAGCAAAGAAGCATGAAAGCAAGTTGTGAAATTGAAACTGTGTAAACAGGGAAATGAAAGAATGAAAATACTAGCTTCTGATGGGAAAAGATCATCTGAGCATGACTCAGAGCAGTGAGAACCATGACACTGCAGAAACTGACAGAAATTACAAAAACATTTTCCTTAGGCTGATACTCTTCAATCTTTTTGATGCATTGAAGCTTTTTACAGATTTTTTTCCAATTGGAGAATTCATTCTGGAAGAAAAATGCAGGAAATGCAAGCATATGATGGACAATTACCTGCACTTGTGTCACTACACATGAATAAAAATAGATTTAGACAAAGGTCTGACAGCTTGCCCAGGCAAGGAGCCTGTCAGTTTTGCATCATTCACTGTTCATGCCTGAATTCAGTTTGTGAAACTACATAAACAAAGCTGCCTGAGCACTGCTATAAACCATATGCCTCTGTCAAGAAATAAATGATGTAATTAATACAGTATCCAGTAAATGCACCACAATTCCCTCTGTGTTGGTGTTAATTGTTATAATTATTACAATAGATTTTACACATTTTTGTTTTTTAAGTAGCCTAAATCGCGTTGATGCCTGTTATCATTGATTATTATACCTGTGTCATTCCTATTACTGTTGAACTAAATTCTAATTTTCACCATGGACTTTTCCTTGGTTAACTTTCAGGAATGGGCAGCAAACAATGAGACGCGGGGGCAAATTGAAGACACTGTGCTGTATGGATATTACAGTAAGTACATTCTCTTAATACCTGTTTACTTGGGTCCTCATTAAAAAGGAAAATGAATAACTTGTTTCAAGAATCGTAAACAGAGAGGATTGCTGCAGGCTGACAACTTAATCTGTCTTTATTTAGGCCTTTTGTTTGAATATTTTTTAGAGTTTAGATGTTTTGTGATGTGTGCAATGATCATAAGTCTACTTTGTCATGCTCCGATGATATCAGCCCTCAAATCTCCTCTTTCAATTGATGCTTGTGCCAGTTCAATTTCAATAACACCTGGGGCCTGACTCACCCACACAGCCATTTTAGTGGGTTAGTAGTCTAACTTTGGGATTTACACTGGCTCGTTGACAGCGTTTCCCAGAGTGGTGACTCATTTTCACACAGGGTATCTCTAAAGTAACTTTGGCTGCACATATTTCCTCTTCTGGAGCAGTTAAGTTCAGGCTATCAATAAACAATAAATTAAAAGCCCATACAATAGCTCACTGATCCTAGAGGAACCCTGGCCTTTTTAAAAAACTAGATTTTATTCACAAAACCTTATATAAACAAGGACATGGCATTCAAATGAATGAGACTAATAAAATGATGAACTGTAATGGCCAGGACTGTTGAAATAATAAATAGTGAAATGACCTTTTCGCAGGGTAATTTTAATGGACGGACAGAACAGTTTGTTTTCTATGATGATGCAATATATTAGAGATATCAAACACTTATAGTGTTTCCTGGCAAAATGCCCTCTATGACAATTAAAATGAATGCAATCTGTCAGATAGGAGGCATCTTACATTAGTCAACTATAGCTATCAATAATAGATTAAATTTACTATTGCATGCTGAAATGCTTTTAGTTGGATGCGGCTTGAGCCTTGGATGAAGCACACACAGTATTCCTATCACTATGTTACTGGTGAACATAAGGTGAATCATGACCTCCAAATGGAGTCCTAGTGATGGACAGTGATGATCATATTTACTCACACCTTTACACTATTTGCATTTTCTCTTATGCATTTCTTTCGGACTCTGCCATGTTAACTTTTTTGCTATTACAGTCATATTGCTAATGGTATATATATTTTCTATAATGCTAATGTTTAAATTCCTTCCTTGGTAAAGATTTAAATAAGCTTGCTTAGCTTAAAATTTATTATTTTATAAATGTATATATGTGTATAATGTCAATTTGTGTTCATAGTCCTAATATATTCTTTTTTGGGAGACCTGACTATTTTCCAGCAAAAGCTTAATAGCTTTAAAAAAACAGTTGTTTCATCACATATTGAGTATGCTACTTTGCATATATTGATTGCATTTGATTGGCTACAAACTCTTCCTTCATTTGAATACAGTCATGGCAGGATAAAGCAACGTAACAACAATGTGTATATGACTGGTTACTCACAGCCGCTAAGTTTTACTGTAGCGGCTGTGGGGAAAATAAGCTAACACACAAATGCTCTACTCCTGTGAGTTCATTGTACGTGATTGTAACACTTTGGTGTGACATTTAGCACTGATTTAAAGTAAAGTCACTTTCGTTGTTGATTTATTGTAATCGGCAGTCGTTGTGGGTCAGGTTAGATTTCCTCCGTAGGTTTGCATTCTTCCTCATCTGAGGGCTGTGCGGGCATGTTCACACTCTGCTTGACTGTCTGACCCTCCTATGGGTTTGGCATCACACCTTTATTTTTTTTATTGGTGAATGAAATTTGGTGACTACAGCAGAATTATAATTAGTAACCAGAATACAGTACATGAAAACACCTGTGTGAGTGTCTTTTAAGGCATTATGATTGTACGCAGGCTACAAGTTCTCCACAAGAGGGAGTTGTTGGGTCGTTTGCGTCGCGTACATTTTGTTCATAGCAGAAAACATTAAAAATGACTGCATTCTATTTACGTGAGCTACTTCCAGAGTCCTGCTCTTTCACACGCTGGCTCATGCCATCGTTTACTGGGACACTCGATGGAATTGAGCCATCGTTAATGACGTTTGTTTCACATGTGCTTTTTTTGCTAACACAAGTCAAAATGTGCACCGTGCAGCAGCATTTTGGATGTACAGATATAAACTTGTTGATGTCGCCATCTACAGGCAAGTAAGGTAATAGCTGCCCCTTGCATTGTGACACTGTGCACCACCTACAGGCGCATTGAGTGTTACAAGCTGTTTTGTTTTCTCTGTTGTCACATGTTAAGGGATGTAATAAATAAAAATGCAGCAACACAATCCAGCTTGTGGCATAATTATGATAATTGGTTACTCTTTTTTTTGCCTCAATTTTCTCCTCTACTTCCAAGTACTGTATGCCAAAATTGAGGGTTTGTTTATAACCTTTGTTTGTGTGTCTTGCTGTATTCTACTTGGCAAAAGAAAACAACAAAAACAAAAGTATTACTTTCCACCAGCTGCTGCAACTGTTCTTGTACGTTCACCAAGCTAGTCTTCACTTGTTTCACTTGTCGTAATTGTCACATTTAGCTTGCATTCAGTGAAATTATAACATTTGGCACTGACAATTTGCTTTTGGCTTGTGGCATACTGTATTGTATCATTGGTAGGTTTGTCGAGCATTCAGTCAGGCATCTTGGACTCGGACTGCCAGATTCTCCTTCTATGAGAGAGGGCAGGTCCGGTCCCCATGGATGGCTCCATAATTATAGTGTTTGTGTGTGGTTGCAGTTCATGGGGACAGTATCCAGGCTATTTGGCTGATAGATTCCTAACTCAAAGCTATTAGTGCCACTGAAAATTCTTCATGATTGTCATATTAAGGGATAACATAAGTTTTTTGTCTTTGACGATTGCAAATTCAGTCATGCCAAAGACACTAGATCTCACGTTTTCCAACAGATGCTGGCTTAAAGTGCCTGTCAGCAACACTGTTATGTACCGTCTGTTCAGAAATGCCAAATGCAAGGAAGACAAGCTGTCTCCTTGCCCAGACAGCCCAATCAAAGAAACCACTTCCACTGGTATGGTGACATCAGAAAATGGGCTGACCGTGAATCCAGCATTCAAGGGGCCACAGTATATGGTCCTCCGGACACACAAATATGATTTTATGCACATGATTGATTTCCTCTGTTATTATCTATAGTTTGGATTAGACATCTCTTTAAATAGAAACCTTGATTCACAAAGATCAAATAATGAATAATTCTGTAGGCTTAGACTGGAATGCAGGGCTGTGTCTCGTCAGTAATTTAATTCATTTAATGGCCAAACCGCCTGGAAACTATGTTCATGGTGCAGCAGTTACACTCAAGACATTTGTCACACATCACAGGAAATGCTCATATAGTTGGTTTAAATATATATATATATGTTTTTTGTTTGTCTTGAATCACAATTGTTTTGATTGGCAGCACCTTATATTGTGGCATTCATGCTGTCCTTATTCCACATAAAAGCAGTGTTTTTACATTGTGTGTTAAGTAGGCATTACAATCCAAATGTAGTTTGTACATGCCATTCACAGAAAAGGTAATTGCTTTTTTTCATATAGATGTTCTTATCAAGTTGAAATATGAAATGAAAAATCTTAGACATACAGAGACTATGCATTCTAGGAGCTAGGGATAAGGGAGAAGCTTCAAAGATTTTGCTACTTGCCTCAGGCATGTATACATGTGATCATAGCTCTGGGAGTGTGAGGTGCAGAATGATCTGCTTGCAAATTTGTTGTGGTGTTGTAACGTTTGGCTGTTGATAAGGAAGGTTGAGTGCCTGTAAAAGTGCCTAAAATACAAAAATCTGAGTGCTGCAGTTTGATTGATATTGTGCTCAGTTCCTCAGAGCATATTTTTGGAGTAAAGATGTAGTGCATTTTAAATATTGCAAATGCATTCCAAGCTTAGAGATGCTGTCATTTAATATATGACATGCACCTTAGGTCATTGCACTTGTTCTAATGATAAATTGTTTACTGTTATGCCAGAATTAATCTGACAGTAGGTGTTATATATATTATATTATAGCAATATATTGTGAGATTATTACAGATTGGCTTCTGAGTCTGATCAGTTACCATGGCTATTTAAAGTTAAATACTTTAATGTAATAATAATATATTCAGACAATGCTTTACCATTGATTATTTTTAAAAGTTAAATGGTTATCATGATGCATTTCTATGTGATTATGTGTCTCTGCAAGTGAATCGATGTTTGTGAAGATGACAGCATAAGAGGACTGTGTGCTGATGCAAAGTCATACTTTGTTGAAGGCTACAGTAATAGACTAAATATGAAAACATGATCAGTCTAATTTTGGCTGCATAGTCTATCTCACTATCATGTTGTTGATGTTTATGCAGAACCAGAGTCTCTTTTCTTTCTTTTTTGAGGGGCATTACTTTTTTATTTGCCAGTAGGTGGAGACCAAGCTCCATGTGTGTTGTATGCACAGCTTCCTTTAAATCTAACCTTTAAAGTTGAATTTTTTTTAAGGCCATATTTGACAGGACTGTCCATTTGTCTCTTCACAAATGGAATAATTACAGGGTTGACATAGAGATTTCCTATTTCCTCCACTGGAGCATGTTTTTCTTCAAGGTAGATTGATGTGTATTCAGTGGTGATCACAGTTAATAAGCATGTGCATGTCCAGTGATTTTAACATTATTTACTTGATGTATGAAATCATTTGATGGCCTTGCATAGCTGTCATTTCTGTCAGTTGCTGGTTCAGAAATGTGTACATTTCTCTCTGGTCACTATGTTCAGTCAAACCTATAGTTGATATTGTCAACATTTCTGCAGCAGCTTTTAATTCTGCTGTATAATTACCCTCACAGTTTTACAAGCACAGTGTTGTCATAGTGGGGTAAATGCAATATAGCACAATTCCATTGTTATTTTAATTGAGGTTTTTTCTGTTTAACCAGGTTTATAGTCCTCATTTTCATTAGGAATCTACACAATTATGCAATCAGTGGGAGTGGATGACAATGTGGTATTTACGAACCAGAAAATAACAAATTTGTACCGTTTGT